TAAAACTCAAGTACAGAGTAGTAAGATCAAGTAATAGATAGATTTGCATTACTTGTCACAACACATTCTTGCTTCATGGACTGAAACTTCCATCTGAATCATGCCATATGCAGAGCGCTAAACCCCATACGCTGGAAATGGAAAGGAAGCTCCAGCAGGCAATCTATTACATTAGTTAATCTCACTCTACTGTCTACGTACAGAAGGCATCTTCTCTCAGTTGCTATAGTAACAGTGACCACCATGGACACACAAACCAGGATTATACTGTGATATTCATCCACTTTGCTTGAAATGTGAGTTGTCTTTGATAGATGCTGTGTAACAGGGATGAGTTGTAGTTAAAGCCCATCTAACATGGTCCTTTGAAGATGCTTTTATCCTCTGCTTCATGCTAGTATATTAAAGTGGATCCAGTCTTCATATACAAACAGGACAGATATCAAAGGTGCAGCATTAACACTGGCTGAGTGTGTGAGTCCATTTTCTCGGAAGGACAAATATACATATCATTCAAGCTGCTCCGCTTTTAAGCTCTAAACGTTAAACACCCACTTAGCTTCTATTCATGCCTTCATAGCGAATGAGTCAGAGGACGGGATTCAGTACAAGTGTTTGTTGGCACAAACACAGTGAAATACAGTTTAGGGCACATTGTCATAGTTCCACAAACTGGTGTTTAGTGTAATGATGCCATCATAATGGTTTGAATTGTATGACGTATTACTTTTATTATGGCAAATTAATTCACTAGACAATGCTGATATCAGTGCTAGAATTGAGCAAGATTTGTATTCGCTCTTCTTTTTGCAAAACAAAAACCATGACTATCAAAGTTCCCATCTAACTCGTGCTGGGATTACTCTGGGAAAAACTAGGAAAAAGAACAGCTTGGATTTCTGGAGTGTTTTATGTTGGGGATGGAGGAGGAAGCAGTGGCGTTTATTTATTTTTTTGCTTGTCAATGGCAGTTTTATAGTAAGATGATAACATGACGTATGATGTGGAAAATTCAGAACAACAAAGAGAGCACAAATCAGGAGGGGCAGAAGGGCAAATGTTCTGGGAAATAATTGTCATGAAGAGTCCTGAAACCTTGAACTGTGATTCTGTTCTGAATGCTTTTACTGTGTAAATACATATTTTCGTATTTAGAAAATAACATGATGAAAGCTAAATAAATAAATACAGAAGAGAAAAAAAACTGAAAAGAAGAGAAAAAAGAATATCTACCCAAGAAAATGAAAAGGGGGGGGAAAATTGCGTTCCCCCTAGAAAAACTTTGCATTTGTTCACAAAAGCACTGAAATATAATTTTCCATCATGAATGTTTTGTGAGGAAATGCAAAGTTTCTGAGAGAAATGCATACTTTTGTAAGTCAATGCAAACTAACACAAAATATTTTGGGGGAATTTAAAAGCATTGAATTATGTGTTTTCCTGTCTCCATTTTTTTTTAACCATCACCATGTCTCTTTAGGGGCTCCATAAATTTGTTCATTTCACCTGAGCAAGCAGTTTTAATTTTAAAAAATTCTTAGTGTGAAGAAAATTTTAATAATTAGAAGAACCATTTTCCACTATAAAGGACCTTTTGTGCAATGGAAAGTTTCCATGGATGTTAAACGTTCTTCGTGGAACCATCAACCAATCAAAACTAACCTTTGTTTTTGGGAATGTATACACCTTTCCATTGTACAAAAGTTCTTTAGATTTATTAAAGGGGTCATATGACGTTGCTAAATAAACATTATTTTATGTACAGGTGTTTTCCTGTCTCCATTTTTTTTAACCATCACCATGTCTCTTTAGGGGCTCCATAAATTTGTTCATTTCACCTGAGCAAGCAGTTTTAATTTTAAAAAATTCTTAGTGTGAAGAAAATTTTAATAATTAGAAGAACCATTTTCCACTATAAAGGACCTTTTGTGCAATGGAAAGTTTCCATGGATGTTAAACGTTCTTCGTGGAACCATCAACCAATCAAAACTAACCTTTGTTTTTGGGAATGTATACACCTTTCCATTGTACAAAAGTTCTTTAGATTTATTAAAGGGGTCATATGACGTTGCTAAATAAACATTATTTTATGTACAGTATTTGGTGTAATGCAATGTGTTTATGTGGTTCAAAAAACATCATTTTCCACATACTGTACATTATTGTTGCTCCTCTATGCCCCGCCTTTCTGAAACGCGTTGATTTTTACAAAGCTCATCACTCTGAAAAGCGAGGTGTGTGATTGGCCGACCAGGTTCAAGAAACTTTCCTCCGTAAAATGCACTGCACACACTCGAATATTTGGGTTGTACTGTTCCGGAACAGTGTTGTAAATACAACTTAACCACTGATTTCTAGCCGTGAGCCAAGTAGTTTGGCTTTCGCAATGAAACACACAGCGTCTCCACAATATGGCGGCGGCAACAATACTACAGCGAGAATAAAAGTTACGCCTAATTTCTTTGCGTATACATTTGGGCGGTGTAATGCAAATCTTCCCACACAGTGATGTAGACATGTGGGGGTGTGTTTAAACAAGGTATTTTAGGAAGGTGTGGTTGAGCGTTCACTTTTATAAAGAATATCTCTTTGGGTTTGAGACTTTAATCTTTGCGACTTTACGGATCTTCTGTATGCATGAACAGCTTTTAACACTCCAAAGACAACGGAAAACATGAAATCGCATCATATAACCCCTTTAAAATATGCTTCACACTAGGAAAAATAGTGTTCTTGTTTAAACACTGGCATTCTTCTGTGGCATCACAAAACACCCCTTTTGGTACCTTTATTTTTTAGAGTGCAAGATGAACATGCTAAAACAGATACTGCGTGTGATATACAAATGAAAGTCCATTTTCACAATTGCTGTAATTTTGGGACTGCAGTAGATAATGATGTAAACTAGAGCAGAAAGCACTTGCCGTAAAGCAGCAGATTTGAATACCCTAATTACTGTACTGCCATTTTTCAGCACAAACACCATAATCAGGCCACAGCAGGACAGCCATACAAATGTGAGCTTAAAATCGAGAGGCTGAATGGCTGGAGTAATGGGCATGCCATTATCTCAATATAAACACGAGGCGAGCAACCAAAACAAATGAGCTTTGAGTGCTTTCCTATTCATCTGTTCTTCACAGACTATCAGGATAAGCCCTCAGGAGCCCCGATAAACTCGTGTATCCATTCTACTTAAGATAGTAGTAGTGATTCAGCTTTCTAAAGAGAAAACACCAGCCGAGAGACAGTTGCTACATGTCTGTCTTTACATACGCCCTCATTTATTGTAATATATTTGTATGGCAGCGAGTGAGTGTGTGCATATATACGAGCGTGTGCCGTCTCCCATCACAGTGGTGTGGACATGTAGATGCCTGTTTTCAAATGCTCCACAGGCCTGATGTTGTTGAGATAATCTGCTGAAAACTGATCCTCTCCACACTATCGCCTGCAGAGGAACGTGTGGGCTCATCAGCCCCCAACATCAGGAGCCTTGTCTGTCGCTACAGCAACAGCAAAAAGCCTTCCATTACCGCTACAGCATTCGCAAGAGTTTCTGCCAGACGGCGCTTCTAACAAGGTGTGTTTAAACAAGGTATTTTAGGAAGGTGTGGTTGAGCGTTCACTTTTATAAAGAATATCTCTTTGGGTTTGAGACTTTAATCTTTGCGACTTTACGGATCTTCTGTATGCATGAACAGCTTTTAACACTCCAAAGACAACGGAAAACATGAAATCGCATCATATAACCCCTTTAAAATATGCTTCACACTAGGAAAAATAGTGTTCTTGTTTAAACACTGGCATTCTTCTGTGGCATCACAAAACACCCCTTTTGGTACCTTTATTTTTTAGAGTGCAAGATGAACATGCTAAAACAGATACTGCGTGTGATATACAAATGAAAGTCCATTTTCACAATTGCTGTAATTTTGGGACTGCAGTAGATAATGATGTAAACTAGAGCAGAAAGCACTTGCCGTAAAGCAGCAGATTTGAATACCCTAATTACTGTACTGCCATTTTTCAGCACAAACACCATAATCAGGCCACAGCAGGACAGCCATACAAATGTGAGCTTAAAATCGAGAGGCTGAATGGCTGGAGTAATGGGCATGCCATTATCTCAATATAAACACGAGGCGAGCAACCAAAACAAATGAGCTTTGAGTGCTTTCCTATTCATCTGTTCTTCACAGACTATCAGGATAAGCCCTCAGGAGCCCCGATAAACTCGTGTATCCATTCTACTTAAGATAGTAGTAGTGATTCAGCTTTCTAAAGAGAAAACACCAGCCGAGAGACAGTTGCTACATGTCTGTCTTTACATACGCCCTCATTTATTGTAATATATTTGTATGGCAGCGAGTGAGTGTGTGCATATATACGAGCGTGTGCCGTCTCCCATCACAGTGGTGTGGACATGTAGATGCCTGTTTTCAAATGCTCCACAGGCCTGATGTTGTTGAGATAATCTGCTGAAAACTGATCCTCTCCACACTATCGCCTGCAGAGGAACGTGTGGGCTCATCAGCCCCCAACATCAGGAGCCTTGTCTGTCGCTACAGCAACAGCAAAAAGCCTTCCATTACCGCTACAGCATTCGCAAGAGTTTCTGCCAGACGGCGCTTCTAACAAGACGGCAAAATGTGTACAATGCACTCTCAATCAGATGTGTCCATCTGTGCAAAAGAATGTTTACACGGACGGTCTGAAACAACAAGACTTGTCATGCATTAGTGAAATACCAAAACGTGGCTGAGGGTTTGAGAAAAAAACAAGCAAAAAAACATGTGATGTTTATACTGTATCTTGTATTCACTCTACCTTGATAGATTGTTCTTTGAGCTGTGTGAGATGGTGGTATTAAGGGAAGCCTGTCTCTTTAAGAGCCAGTCCTTGAGCAGGTTGGCTTGTTGAGTGAGGAGGTGGAACCTTGTCTGCTTCTACAAACAAGCATTTCTATCAACAAAACGTGTCTCACCAGCGGGCTGATCTTGAGGGTGTGCATATATACGAGACTGAATAGTGAAGTCGTGCTCGATTTTCTTTTACGTTACTTCCTAATGGTGTATGTGCGATATGTGAGTCCCACTTTATTAGTTTGCAACACTCTGCTGGAGGGGCCACCAACAGCTCAGGTGTGTCACGTCTATTTGTCAGTAAGTGTGTTTATCTTTTTTCATCGTTAAGTAGAGTTAAATTGCTCTGTAGCATTTAAAATAATGCCATTTCAAAGAGCTTGGTTGTGCAGCACCTTCTGAACTCTGTAACTTTAAAAAAAAATAAAAATAAAAAAATAAAAAATAAAAAGATTATCTTGTGTTGTAATTTAAGGAGGCATTTCTGTAAAAGGCTATACCAGATTTTCAGAAATACACTCTGGTCACACTCCGGCTCTTAAACTTGTGAATTATAATCGGACTATTTACACAACAGCAGGAAAGTGTTTGTTCACACCATTTGAGATTGAAATGGTGTGGGAATACAGATGTACTGTTATTCGGAGGTAGATTCTGGGTAAAGGAACCACGTGCCAATTAAGTTTCCATGGAAGCTTCCTGGTAAATAATGGACTTTTAAGTACATATGCTCAGATTTTTGTACGTTGCTTTGAGATTTTTGTATGTAAGTGTATTTTGTGCTTCAGTGTACATCCAAGTTCTGAAGTCTGTCACTAATTCTTTATTGCTTATATCCTTTTTAGAGAAGTGTCTCGTACAGCATAAGCACAAAATCTGAAAGCGTGTACATTTACATTTTCTAAAATGTGCTTTATTAATATACAGCATCTGAGAAGTTTTCCTCAGAGTAGATATATGTTTTCCTAGGAGGAAAAGACTGGCAAAATGAATAGTTTTTACTCTAATTTCTGATTTGATGAGCCACAATATAAAATGCTGTTGAACTTACACTGTGAGTGCACATTTTAGATAAAATAAGTTACTATGTTATTATTTCCATTAAAAACACTACGGAAGAAATGCTGAAGAATCTTTATGCTGCCTCTTCCCACTCGATGACCATTTATAGTGTCAAGCTCCAGAATGATACCATAAAACATCAGATCGTGCCCTTCGCTACAGCTCTCAAGTCTCATTCTCCATGTATTCCCAATAGTATCCCATTAAGTTGAACTGCTGTGTTGTGTCCGGTTACAAAACGCACAAGAACAATTGTTTTTTTGGGATCAGTGATGTTGAATCATTGAGACTACTGTAACATGCTATACTCTGCTTTCCCTACAAAGCTTTTCCCAAATTCATTCCCATTGCAAAAGCACTCCATTAATGTATCATTTCGAATCTGGCTGGCTTTGTAGTCAAAAATGTAAGAGTTTTGTTGGAGTGGAAGTGAATAATGAATTGAACGTCAGTCAGTTCCTCACAAATCTGCCTTTTTGACTGTAATATTGCATACAGCTTTTATGATACACTGTAAAAAAAAATCCGTAAAATTTACGGTAAAAAACCGGCAGGTGTGGTTACCGGAATTTTACCGTAAAAAATACGGTAGCAGCGTTTTAGGTTTTACGGTTTTAACTTCAATTTACAGTTAAATACCGTAATTTCATTAACTGATGTAATGTTAATATACCAACCTATTGAAGTACTGAAATCTGTTTTGTACCTTTTGTAATACACTGATAATCACCAAATGCAGGAGATGATGAGAAAGTCACACAATGAACCAAAGCCTATGACAAGCAGCTTTTAAATAGTAACATATATAGAAGGTGCGCAGTGTCATTCACACAAACGCTAAACACTATCACGGTAACACACGTGAAACTGAAATAATGCAATAAACCTTCATTTAACAACATTAGGTGTAACAC